GGGACGTACGAGTAGAGAGAGAAGAAGGGAGGCGGGAGGAGGGAGGAGGGAGGAGGGAGGAGGGAGGAGGGGTAGGGGGAAAGGGAAGGGCGACTGAAGGAGGAGGAGGAGGAGAGGACTACGAGGACCCTTTGAAAGTAAAGCTGCAGCTGTCGGTAGAGACTATCCTATCCATCACTTGAAGGAACTCCTCTCCGGCAATCGATTCTCCATTCACTTCAACCAGAACATCCCCAGTCTGCACATGTGCTCTTAGTCACCATCTCCTCTCCTCCCTGGTCCCCATTTCCTTATTTCTCCTCTTTTCCTTTGCTTTCCTTTCTATCTTCTCCACTTCTTCCCTCTTTTCTTCGTGTCTACACCCTCCCCCCCTCCAAATTCTCTATATCTCTCTCGTCCGCATCGTTCTTGCTTTCTTGTCCCTCCTCCTCCTCCTCATCCGCATCCTCATCCTCCATATCTGTAACCCCAGCAATCCCATTTCCTCCCTTACCTCGATCAGTCCACTTCGATGAGCCTCGCCGTTCTCAAAAACCTGAATCCCATCCTCACTCCCCATACCCCTCCTTCCTCCAACACTCATAGAACCTCCTCCCTCCCCCTTCCCTCATATTCTTCACTTCCCTCTCCCCCTCCTGCCTTCTCCTTTCCCTTCTTCCTCCCCCTTTCTCCGTCCCCCTTCCCCCTTCCCCTCCCTCCTCCCTCTCGCTGCTGCTCCTCTACCTTAGTCACCATCGGGCCTTCTGCTCGAGGTTCGAACTGCAAACCGTATCCGCGAACTCCTTGACCAAAGCCTGCACAACACAATCACTCCCTGAGAACCACCTCCTCCTCAACCTGCTCCTCCCTACCCCATGTTTTCCTATTCTGTCTTCCTCCTCCCCCAACCCCACTCTCCACCCTTCACACACACATTCCTCCCATCCCCTCAATCATCCTCCTCATCAACCCCTTCCCCTCTCTTCTCTCTCGTTCTCCTTTTTCCTTCTATCCTCCCCCGCTTCTCTTAATCTTTCTCTTCTTCCTTGGCTACAATCCCCAACCTCCCCGCCCCCACGCTCCTCGCTCACCATAACTTCTCTTGAGGTGCACAGTGTAGGTAGCTCCCTGCGTGAAGTTGGCGTCATCCATCATGCTCCGCACGGGGTGCGATCCTTCCGGGTAGCGGAAGATGAGGCGGTGACTGCCGTGTCCTGAAGGAGCAGCACGAGCAGAGCTGCTTGGGAGCGATGCTGCACCTCCGATGCTTGCGATGGTGGGGAGGAAGCGCAATGCAGAGGATGCGCTGCCAGGAGACGAAACATGAGGATATCAGTGAGGATAAAGCGAAGGAGATCAAGTCATGGCAAGACTAGAGACGTGTACCAATGAAGTAGAGGAGCTCGAGAACTGCAAGCGCAAGAGGAAACAAGCAATGGTGGGTTGGTGGGAACAGGGTACAGAAGTAGACGTTGCAGGGAAGAGAGAGATTGTGGTAAGGTAGGATAATTTCATGCACAGAGGTAAAGAAGGGAGTTGCCAGGAGCGAACATTGAAGACTGGAGTAACATGGCCAACGGCACTGGCAGGAGGAGGAGAAGGAGGAGGAGAAGGAGGAGGAGAAGGAGCCAATGCAGCAGCAAGAGCGGCGGCGGCGGCGGAAGG